CACTGACAAGTGGGGACACACTGTGCTCCCTCTGCCACACTGACAAGTGGGGACACACTGTGCTCCCTCTGCCATGCTGAGAGCAGGTGAGGACTCTGAATTCCCTCGGGGCCAGAACCTTAACCTTATCAGCAAACAGCAACACCCGGTAAACAAACAAGAAAATGAAGCTTCTGGGGAGGAAGATTTCATAACCTGAAGCTTTGGAATAATTTAAATCCTTGGGAATAACGAACACGTTTCAGTGGGGTTTGAAGCAGGACGCCAAGCACACAGGCACACGTAGGAAGCGGACACGCAGTTCCCTGAAAGGAGAGGCTGGCTCTAGCCACACCAGGAGGTTCAGGTGGCCCCGTACTTACCAGTGGGGTGGTCTCAGGCACAGCCCATGTCCTGCCACTGCAGTGGAGCTAAACTCAGCAGTAACATCTGAGCAGCCAGGAGACGTGACCTGCTGTAAAGGCCTCACTGCCCTTCCCTGAGTCTTCGCGGTTGTGGCAGCATATAAAATGCATACTGCTCTTTTCCTGGGTTCATGGCATGGAGTTCCTAAAACACTCAGCATTTCCTGAGTGGTTGACCAGCACCTCTTAACCTAATAGGTGTCCCTTAGCGGGCCCCAGGGCAGCTGCAGGATGGAATCTGGGTGCCAGAAAGACCAAATATGCAACCAGAGATGTGGAGTGCTCAGCCCTACCCTGACTCCCAGAAGGGCACAGGGCCCGAGGCTGAGTTCAGTGACCACGGAGTGTGATTGTTATCACTCATGCCTGCAGCAGGAAACCTCCATAAGAGCCTCAGTGATGGGGCTACAGGGCTCTACAGCTGCAGAACATTTGGGGGGCGGGGGGGCTGGCACCAGGAGAGGGTGTGGGGACTCCACGCCTCTGCCCCACTCTGCCCTACGCACTGCTGCCCTCTGGCCACTCCTGAGTTGTCTCCTTTACACACACCGGCAGATGTGCAGAGTGTCTCTTGGGCTCAATGTGAGACATTTAGGGGACTACAAGACTCGGGGTGGTGACGTTCCAGGAATCTCCTACTTCTAGCTGGTTGATGAGAAGCACACAGGCCCTGGCACTTAGGCTGGGCGTCCCTTCTGGGGGCAGACTGTGGGCTAGAGCCCCTCACCTGTGTGGTCTGTGCCCAGTCTGGGCATTAGTCCCAGCACTAAGCTGCGCTGCTGGATACTACCTGCTGTGGGGGAATCTGTAGACTCAGCCCCGATTCTACTCCTTCACGGCTTTCACTGAGTAAGTGGGACCCTGGCTTCAAACCCACATCTTTCAAGAATACTTCAGCTGCTCAGGTTTTTTGGGTAGGAGGTTTCTGAGTAGTTTTCTCTGAACTAGTGATAGGGGCAGCTGGGGCCTAGGGACCCCATCTCTGTTCTGCTATGAAGGACCTCTTACAAATGCCCTTCAATGAACTGAGTCCCCTACTACCAATGCCCTCAGACACAGGAGCCCAGAGGGAAGGCGGCACTGGCAGCATCCCCTGGGGGGCACCCTCCCCAGTCATTGATGATGGCATTTCCTGCAGGAGAATCCCTTTCAGTGTCTCCTGTTATCCTAGACTCTGCGTATGTGGGCAGCCCAGGCCCCGCCCCGTTCCCCCGCAGTCACAGGGTGGTCAGGAGAAGCCAGAGTCAGGCTGGACACCACCAGCACCCCTCTCTGAGTGCTGTCTTCAGGTCCCCTTGTGTGGTGTCCAGCCTTTTCTTAATTTTCTCTGCTACATATTAGGAGAAGAGTTGTCCTGGGCCACACATTAAGTAGGCAAACACTAATGAAAGCTGATCACCAAAATGAAGAAGGTCTGACCCTGTCATGATAGCCCACACCACAGATCTAGAAAACAGGCTGCAAATGTCTGCAGGCAGCTCTCAGGCTGGAAACCCCACCTTAGGGGACTGTGCAGAAATGGGGAAAGGAAGCCTCATGCTGTCTCCACTGCGGACCTGTGTGATGACACAGGGCGGGAGGCACAGCACTGGGTCCCACCGCTGCCACTTGAGACAGGGAAGGAAACACCCGGAAATCCAAAACCTCCACAGTCAAATCCACATGCTGTGACCCAGGAAAGCCTCTGCAGTCCCAGACAGCACCTGACAAGCACTGGCAAGGACGTGAGGTCTGCTCAGGCACCTGACAAGCACTGGCAAGGACGTGAGGTCTGCTCAGGCACCTGACAAGCACTGGCAAGGACGTGAGGTCTGCTCAGGCACCTGACCTGCAGAGTACACCTACCTGCCCTGCAAGTCTGCTCCTGGGGAATGAGGTGCTGCTAGTCCCCATGGCTGTAAGCTCCCTTCCCTGCAGCATGTCTCAACAGGCAGTGTTTGGCCAACATGACCTTTCCTGGACACGCTTCCTGCCACCCAGCACACTCTGGCCCAGTCTCAGGGGCCTAGTGTTGTAGGTGTGGACTTGATTCCATATAAAACCCTTACACCTGGCAGTGTACCCACATTCTAAGGCGCACCCCACAGTGGCCCTACAACAGTGGAAACCAAGACCTTCTGTTGGGCACAGCGCCCCTGTGGATGCTGCCTGCTGAAGGTGGCTGCTCAGCTGTTTCTCAGCAGTACCCACTTACCTGCCCCACAGGTGGGGGTGGGGAGAACCTCCTGGCACAGGCCAGGAATATGTCAGGCGCTGGCTTGCCATTCTTCACCTCCACATCGTCTCCCAAAACGATGTGATGAAACAAACTGAAGAACTCCTTGTGTCTACTTGTCTTCATTTTGAATGACACAGACCCAGAGCTAGAGGCAACGGCAAAAGGTATGTTGTGCTTCTGCAGATGGTGGATGAGTTTCTCAGCCCCTGGGGAGGAAGAGGGAAAGGCGTGAGTGAGGAAGGCAGGGTGCCCAGCAGGCCTTCTTCCCAGGGAGGGCTCATGCAGCCGTGTGACACCGTGTGACACCGCACCATGTGGCTTCCTCTTCTGAAGAATTCTATCACCTGTCACAGACTGTCTTCAGAGGGGCAACAGCTCGGAAACAGCCCGATTCATAATAAGCAAACAAAAAAGTAAACACACACACAACTTAGCTGTATGCCATTTTCCACAGTAAAAGATGATTTCACCATAAATAACTGTTGCTGTTTCCTAGCCCCCTCGTTGAAAGGTAGACAAGAGGCAGAGTGGGAACAGGGAACACTCCACTTGAAGCTGCCCATGATGTGGGGAAGGGGACGCCCCGGCAGGGCTCTGCTGGGCCATGCTCATTTTCCAAAGCTATGAATGTCCAAGGACTATGCTGCTAGTCTGAGAAACCCCTACATTCTGGAGAGCAATTCAGCCACTCTTCACACTGCTCAGGAAGGGAAATCACCAAACAGCCTCCCCAGGGGCCTAGGCACCACTCAGTATTGCATCAGAGAACGCAATGACCCTTGCTAAAGACAAACCCAACACCGTCACATGAAAAGTGCACATACCCATGTTGTCACTAAATGTACAGATTCACTACAGGGAGCACAGAGGTTAGCAAACTTATTCACAGAGCCAATTAAGAGAAAGCCAGTTACTAGAAATGTATCAAAAATAACAGGAGTGCTTTCCACTTTTAACCTATGCTAATTAGGACAGCAGTAACACCTAAATACATAGAAAACATTATGGTTTATCTAAAATGGCAATTTATATAAGCCTATTTTAATAACCACATGAAGTAACATCCCTACTTTGCCAACTGTCACATAAAAGCCTGACACAGTCATTTTTTCCAAACACCTAAAACCATTCATGGAAGGCAGCGGTTCTCAACCTGTGGGTCACAACCCCTTTCTAACAGTGAAAATACACTGAGGCATTAGGAAGGTTGAGAACCACTGATGTAAAGCAACAGACAGACCCTGTGGGAGCTGACTGGACCCTTTAGGGCAGCGGTTCTCAACCTGTGGGTTGTGACCACCCACAGGAAGTGTATGAAAGGGCCACAGCATTAGGAAGGTTCAGAACCACTGCTTTAGGGAAAAAAGTCTTACAAGATGTTAAAAAGCAGGTACAGACAGATCTTAAATCTGTGCCACAACAAAGCTAAATAAAGCAAATAAATTAAAGAAAAATGTAGCACTCTGATGGATATAATATTCACGACATCTAACGTATCATACAAAGTCAGCAGGTCTGCAAAGAAGCAGAAAAGTGCAGCTCCCTACTAGGAGGAAGGGCAGCAAAGCCGGCAGTGAACATGGGCGTGAATGTGACAGAGACAGACCAAGTCAGCAGCTCAGGACTGATATTAGCTTTATAAATTTTATAATATCCAAGGACAACATTACCAAAATGGAGAACAAAACAAAATAAAACACAACTATACGTTATCTACAGAAACCTAATTTAAATATAAACACTGATACATTTAAATAACAGGATAAAAGATATAACTTCCATCACATAACTTCTGCTCAAAAGAGAGATGACATAGCCGTATTAACAGACATGACTACAGAACCATGCATTATACCAGATGACTATTATCAGAGACAAACAGGAGTGTTTACTAAGGATGAATAGGCCAGTTTATCAACAAGACATAGTTATAAATACATATGCATCAAATAACAGACTTCAAAATACATAAAACAAAAAACCATACATGTATAACTGAATGGAGAGACAGACAAATACAGGAGGTTTCAAACCCCTCTGTAGTAACTGATAGAACAAGTGGGCAGAAAATAAGTCAGGGTGTAGCAGATGTCAAAGATACTATCAAGCAACTTGTTCTGAAAAATTTAAAATAACTGAAATATACAGAATATGTTCTCTAATCTCAACAGAATTAAAATAAATCAATAATAGAAAGGAGTTTGGAAAATCACAAATATTAGGATGCCAGCACACTTCTATGTAAGACATAGGTCTAAGATGAAATTGCCAAAGAAAATTAGATAATATTCTGTAGAGAACAAAAAGATATCAAAACTTGTGGAATGTAGCCCAAAGTCAATTTAGAGTAAAACTGATAGCATTAAATGCTATACGAAGCAAGAAGAAGGTCTCAAATCAGTGACCTAAGATGCCACAATAAAAACTGAAAGGGCAACAAAGATTCAAACTTTCAGCTTACGAAAGTGAAAGAGAAAATTAAACTCAAAACAAATGAAAGGAAATACAAAAACGAGAGACAATCAATAAAATGGAAAGTAGAACACAAAATACAGAAAATCATCTAAACCAAAAGTTGGTTCTTTGAAAGGAAAAATTAAATTGGGAGACCTCTAGCTAGACTGACCAGGAAAAAAGAAAGAAGATTCAAATTCACCAATATTAGTAACGAAAGACAGGATATCACTATAGATGTTAAAACAAAGAAAAAGATAAAAGATAACATAATTCCAATACATTCGACAATTCTGACGTAATGGGATAATCTTTGAAAGATACAACACTCACTCAAGAAGAAACTAAGAACTTGAATAGCCTCTATCTATCAAAAATGGAATTTGTAGTTAAAAACCTTGCCGTGACCCAGGATCAAATAATTTCATTGGTGAATATGCCAAATATCCAAGAAAGAAATAATTCTAATACTAAGGACATTTTACAGAAAATTGGAGGGAACACTTCCCAGCTCATTTTATGATATCAGCATTTCCCTGGCATCAAAACAGATAAACGCCAGACAAGAAAACCAGAGATCACATGAACTCATACACATACCTCCAAAAATATTCATCTAATGTAAAAATAGTCTACATGTAAAGACTCAATGTAACTTGAATGCACTGGTTAAAAATACTAAAATGTCACACCATTAACTAGTTTGCAACAACCACTGATTAGTATCTGGATGATTAAATTTATTAGCTAGCTTTCAATTTAAACCATAACCTAACGTGTAGATGAGATGAAAGACTGCTTATAATAAAAAAATTGCCAATAATGAACTTCTGTCTGAATACACATAGCGATTAAAGCTGAGTATCAAAAGGATTTGAATTTAAAACAGTAAATTTAGGCTCGGCACCTATAGCTCAACCGGCTGAGGCGCCAGCCACGTACACCTAGGGTGGCGGGTTCGAATCCCCAGCCCGGACCCGCCAAAACAACAATGACAGCTGCAACCAAGAAATGGCCGGGCGTTGTGGCGGGCGCCTGTGGTCCCAGCTACTTGGGAGGCTGAGGCAGGAGACTCGCTTGAGCCCAGGAGTTGGAGGTTGCTGTGAGCTGTAATGCCACGGCACTCTACCCAGGGGGACAGCTTGAGGCTCTGTCTCAAAAAAAAAAAAAAAACAGTAAATTTACCCAACTTTACACCAATGCTTAAAAAAAAATAATGGAGCACATTTAAAACACATGGCTCTTTCTAAAAAAGACAGTAAAAATAAAATTTTGTTAAAGCACTCTGATGTTATTCATCTTAAAATTTTAAATATAGGTTCCTTTATTTCAGCATATGCTTCTAACATTTTCTTTTTCTGTGAAAACAGGCAGTCCCCGGGCTATGAACAAGACAGGCTCTGCAGGTTTGTTCTTAAACTGAACTTATATTTAAGTAAGAACAGGTGCATTGACCTGTTACCTATAACAGCCTCTGTCTGAGTCTCACAGACGTCTGTAACTTGGGGACTGCCTACGGTGTGCTTTGCAGAGTCCCTGATGTGCCCGTGTGGCCGCACACATGAACACACCAAGGAACTTGTATTGGAGTGTGTGTCAGTGTTTTTACCGACAGCAGAATGACCTGAAAATGCTTTGGACTGTCTTAAACAACCCATGGTATACTAGGATCCTTTACGAACCCCAAGACGAGGCTCTGACTGCAGTCCCTCGGTCATGGGACTCGGGCAATCACATGCCTGTTTGGGCCTCAGTTGTGTCACCTTTCAAAGAGTAGTGGACAGCTTCCTCACCAGCTGTGGCAAGGAGAGGCGCGAGAAGGGCAGTGTGTGCAGAATGACGGTGTACACTTTCCATGAATGAGGAAGGCCCCAGATAAACGTTAGCCAGTGCGGTACCGTCAGGTAAAACTTCAGCATACTTCCAGGAAGAAATGATTCTGATCTCTTGACACGTACTGCCCAATTCCTTCAAAAATTTGTGTATACTGGGCAGCGCCTGTGACTTAGTGAGTAGGGTGCTGGCCCCATATACCAAGTGTGGTGGGTTCAAATCTGCCCTGGCCAAACTGCAACCAAAAATAGCCGGGTGTTGTGGCGGGTGCCAGTAGTCTCAGCTACTGGGGAGGCTGAGGCAAGAGAATCGCCTAAGCCCAGGAGTTGGAGGTCGCTGTGAGCTGCAATGCCATGGCACTCTACCGACGGCAATAAAGTGAGACTCTGTCTCCTAAACAAAACAAAACAAAACTGTGTATCCTTTACATGTCACATGTAAACTTTTTCTTATTCATCGGCTCTCCCTGAGAAGTAAAAGGCTAACAATGTCAAGTGGATTTCCATTCCAGGGAGCAGTTGGTTAACTAGGGGCATAAAGGAAATCCTGCCTCCGGCACCTGGTGCCTTTCCATCAGCTTCAGGGAAGGGCAGAAAACCTGATGTGTGTTGGTACAGAGATTCAGCCCTCACAGAACTCGTCTGGGGGAGGAACAGGAATTGCAAAGAATGGGCACCCTGGATAGGAAGAATGCGGTTACTGTACTTCGTCCTGGAGACGACGGCCAGTGAGAACCAGAGTGCTGCCATTAAGTAGATTACGTGAGGACACACACAGAGCACTGCCAGCTGGTATGAGTACCTCCCTCCTCGTGTGCTCCTGGAGTCCACCTGTGGAGCGGACCTACCCATCCAAACCCCACTAGCTCAGGATTCTCTGCACGACCCTGCCCCAAGACCTGCAACCAGGCAGAGAAGGA